CCCCCCCCCTCCCTGTAATTCCCACAACATATTTGCACAGGTCTGAGACAGATTTATCACTGAAAAAGAGACAGATTTTCACTGTTGCTGTGCAACAGACCTGATAAATGTCCCCCATTGTTTACAGAATTAATTTGAAATTAAAATGGAATACTTAGTCGTGCAAAAAAGTAAGTACAGTCCCAGAAAATTGTTGACTTTTTTTAACAAGCAAACATCCTTCTCTTCATTTTCAGACAGTGCCTACAGATAACAGTGATATACTTGAATAAAAACACAATGAAAATGTGCCCTTTCAATAAACTATTCAACAAAAAATTTCAGATGTAATTGTGTACTGTGGAAAAGGTAAGTACACTCTGAGGGGTCTATTTAATAAACAATTTGCAGAGCCATCCACCCTGCAAATCTCCGTGTATGCTCGTTCTGTGCAAATAGAGGTGACCGTTAAGGCCCCTGGATGGGGCTTAGGAGTTGAGGAAATAAATGTTTTTCCTGTGCTCTTTGGCTCCATCGAGTGACCATAATGTGGTATTACATTACATTCAACCTAAAAAGAAAATGGTATTTTTGATCAAGATTGAATGCAAAATTGCTCCAGTTTCAGAATATTTGTGGGTGTCTTTTGAACTGCCTGTTTTAAACACCCCCCTAATGATAAAATTTCAATGGGAATCTTAATGGGATTCAAATTTCGGCTTTGACTAGGCTAATTCATGTCTCTCCACCTCGTAATTTTGAGCCATTCCTTTACATGTGCTGGTGTGCTCCACATCATTACTAAGTTGAAACATCCATTTTCGGTTTAACTTACGGAGAGGTTGATACGATACAGAATTCATAGCTGACTCAATTGCTGCAAGTTGCCCAGGCACTGAATCAGCAAAGCAGCCCCAAACCATAACATTTCCACCATTGTGCTTCACAGTTTGTATAAGGTGCTTCTAAAATACTGTTTTTAGTTTGTGCCAAACATTTCTACTGTTACTGTGGCCAAACAACTGTTTCTTTGATTCAACCGCCCACATGGCATTGTTTCAAAAGGCCTGGTCTTGCCTAGTATGTTCAGTGGCAAACTAGCTATGCTCCAATGTTTTTTTTTTGAACAGCAAAGGCTTTCTCCCTGCACACCTGCCGTGCAGCTCGAATAGGTGCAATCTCTTTCTGATTTTGTAAATGCACAAGTTACTTGCAGAGCTCGCAATTCTGTTTTGGGGTTTTTGGAGACTTTGGCATCAAATGGTCACCTCTTGGGCTAAATGTGCTGGCCAGTCCTGAACAAATTAGTGGACGTTTGAAATCAATGCCACTTGTAGATTATTTCCTTCTAGTCCAATAATTGGTTTCCGCTAATTTGGTGATCTTTTTAAGTCCTTTTGCCATACTCGTAGGCATCCACAACCTTCTTTCTGAGGGCCTTAGATAGTTCTTTTGAACTTGGCACAATGACACCATGCGTGCCCATATCAAAGGAGACACCAGACCTTCGATAGCTAAGTTTTTAATAAGAACGGTTACACCTGCATACTCCCTAACTCAGTCACTAATAGTGAACACCTGCATTATGTCTGCATTATGAGAATAAATACACCATGTCACCTTTTGTCATTTGTTCAAATATATCACCTTTATTTGAAAACACTGTTTGAATGAGAATCTTATGTTTGCCTGTTCTGATTTTGAAAAATTAAAACATTTTCCATGGGGTGTACTTCTTTTTTTTTCCCCACATGATTGTGTATGTAAACTGTCAAAGGTTAATTCTGCTCAGCCAGTCTTGTAATCTTAGGGTAAGTCTTCATGAGCAGGTCCAGGCAGCAGACAGGACCTTGCTTTTCTCCACTACAGTTGAGCAATACAGCTTGTTTATAGCCCCCCTACCCCAAGCTTGTTGATTGAATAATGAAGCATCATCGCCACACTGATGATGTCATCACTTTGCTTTGCCTTCTCCTTTAGGGCAGGTTCACATAATTTTCCGGACCAGATCTGGAACATAGTGCATTGCGTTTTTACTGCGATTTTGCCACATTTGGAATTTTTTTTTTTTAAGCTTAAGGGCCCTTTCAAACCGCATCCAGATCATCTCTAGACCAGACCAAATTGTTTCAGGACCCAAAATGCATCCTAATGCATCCCTATGCTATTTCTGGCCTCCGTTCATACCAGCGCGGTCCGTTCCAGACCAGAAAAATATTGCATGTCTCATTTTGTTTGGTCTGGAATGCACTGGAACTGCGGGCAGGTTCTCACCATTTTCCAGACCAGATCTGGATTGGAAAATGGTGTGAACATGCCCTAAAATGGTCTTACAGGTGCGTTCCTGTGCATTCCTCACCAGACAAAATAAGGCAAGCAGTATTTTTCTGGTCTGGAACAGTCTGCGCTGGTGCTAACAGAGGCCAGAAATAGCATAAGGATACATTAGGCTGCATTTTGGGTCTGGAAACAATCTGGTCTGGAGATGTTCTGGACATGGTGTGAAATGGGCCCTTAAGCTCCCGCTACACATTACAATATGATTATCTACCATCAACATAGGCCCTTGAATGGTAACAGACTGAAAGGATTAAATAGTTGGGTCCTTACATTATATTGTACATTTAGACTGTAATGTACATGGACAGTTTTAGATCAACCAACAACTTGCAGTACAAGTTCTTTTTCGGGTGGATGCAAATGGAATTAATTGTTTTGGTTTTGTCTTACTAGTTTTGGTAAATGTAAAGACACTTGTAGAGAGAATATACAACCAGATTGTAACATCTATGACCAATTTTAGATTAACGACAGTTTGCACTGCCATTGAGATAGATTTGCTACCTGTCCTTCTCCCAATCCGGGTGCTGCTGTGCAGTGGATTGTAGGAAGCCAATACAAATTCAGATATTCATACTTGCAGTGGCTAAAAATTGAAGAAAAGTTTTTGTTTTATATTAATGGCTTTTTATGGTATTCTTTTATATCCGTTTTTAATTTCTGCTTTGAATTATGATCTGTGTTATTATTCATTCAAAATAAACACCAATATTTGGGTTTTGCGTAAAGCTCATCTCTGGGAACTAGGCTTTCTGGCATACCATTGTCCTTCTTCTCTCCATTTATAGTTGCTATGCATATTTATTTTCTATTTCTGAGCTGCAGTCCGTTAAAAAAATCCTATATTAGTGTTTGATAATATGCTGAGAGGAGGATGTGTGATTTCACAGAGAACTATATGGGGGCATTGAAGAGACCAGTCACTGTGCTGCACATCGAGCTAGGGCAGGTGTCTGGTCCCGCTGAGAGGAAGTGCTGCACAAAGAGGGTCTAAATCTAAAGCATTTTTTTTTAGAGAGGAATGCACAGCAGCGCTGAATAAAATCTTTACACGGAGGACAAAGGTAAACAATTGGCAACACGCCAGTTAAAAGCCATTTTTGCCTGAAGATGAACTTAAAGCATGTCACGTTTACATATTTTACAATTTTTTTATTAGTACTTTTTTCCCCATTTCTTCTACCACTAATGTGGTGTCAATTCCTTTTGTGATTTACTAAAGGTGCTCTCATTTACATGGGACTGTAGGCAGTTCTGGGCATGTACTGTGATTATCTGACATGGGGAGAAACCAGATTCCACTTTCATCATCTGTGCGAGGAATTTCTCATGAATCTGTTAACAGGTAACTAAACTCTATATTGGGCTCCTGTAATATGGTATTGTTTCTAAATATTTTACCAGGTTTTATATGGGCACATGACATTACCCTACAATATCATATATTATTGGGCACACCAAAAAAATAGAGAGAAGCCTAAATCACCAATAAAGCTAAAACAAAGGTTAATGTGAATATTCCATTAAAAAAAAAAATTCTACAAAATAATTGTAAATTTTTATGTTCTTCAGTTTTTAGACATTAATGAGGCAATTGATGGGATTCTTGATTGGTAATACTCCGCAAGACATAAACATTGTGTATAGAATAGGGCTACAACCATCTAATCGATTATTCGATTATGAAAATAGTTGTCTACTATTCTCATTATCGATTAGTTGGTTGGATCCCCTAGCTCTCTCCTCCATGCAAGCAGTGGGCGGGTGCAATAGCCAGCCTGCTATTGCAATTTAAAATGGCCAATAGCAGCCTGGCTATTGCATCAGCCAAATACATGCTGTATTTACATTGAGCTGCCGTCTGTGGAATCTTCTCACTGGCAGCTGTCATTCCCTGGGAGAAGCTATTCATGCGCCATGTGCTTACAATATAATTATTAAAAAAGAAAATGATAATAGGTGGGAAAAAAGTCATTTTCTGTTTCGGCCCGACAAATTCTGCTGCGTTGCAGTGCCATTCATTTAAGTGGCACCCCAAATGCGCCTCCCACAGACTAAATCGGTTAAAAACAACACCATCCTTGATTTAAAATGAAATACACAAATGGAGTGTTACAAACAAAATTTACATCAGAATAAAACTGCATGCACATTTTTTTGCTCTAGCATTACAGTACCTTGCGTTCCAGTGCTACATATCATGGATGCTCCCTACATATCATGGATCTAGGATATTCTATGTTAACCTGATGTTTATCCAGTATTCTGTTTTACATATAACTGGTCACTTTGGTCTTTTTGTGCACACAAAAATTGTGCATAATCTTTACAAACGGGTATGTATATGCTTAAAGGAGAACTATGGGGTTAGGGCTTTTCCCTATAGTTCTCCTTTGGGTAACGGGAGGACACAAACTAACGCCCTCCCGTCACCCTAAGCTCAGTATACCGCGAGCTACAGCTCGCGTTATACTGAAACGCCGCCGCTGAAGCGGATTCCGACAATTATGTCTGGATCCGCCCAGCTGCTCTAGTGACAGCTGGCTCTGCCTATCTAGAGGCAGAGCCAGCTGTACCTGCCCCTTCCCCCGTCCCTGCCGCCAGTCAGCGCTGCAGGATCGGAGGGGGGAATCCAGCCCCTCCCCTGTCACGGCAGAGAGCTGTGACAGGATCGAGAAGTGAGCGAACGCCGGTATGTGTTCGCTCACTTCCCGATCTACTGAGCCGACTTGTGACAGTCTAATTGTCACAGGTCCGCTAGAACTATGAGGTAAGTGAAAAGCACTCACCTCATAGTTCTCCTTTTTAATCTTGGTAGGAGTGGTTGGCGTGTTTTCAAATTTCTGACAGTTTTTAAATGGAATAACCTGTAGGATCAAAATTAATATTTTACAAACTACTGTGTGATTCTTACTGCCTTTTTTTATATGTTTCTCTGTAGGATCTTGCTGTGAGACATGGATCGATGTAAACACGTGGGACGCTTACGCTTATCCCAGGACCACTCAATATTAAATCCACAGAAATGGCGCTGTGTAGACTGTGATACAAGAGAGTCCATATGGGCCTGTCTCAAGTGTTCCCATGTGGCCTGTGGACGCTACATTGAAGAGCATGCATTGCGCCATTTCCAAGAGAGCAGACATCCTTTGGTTATGGAGGTGCATGAGCTTTATGTCTTCTGCTATTTGTGCCAGGATTATGTATTAAATGATAACCCAGAGGGTGACCTAAAGCTACTGAGAAGTGCGCTGTGTGCTGTGCGGAGTCAAAAGCAGGAAACATCTGGCCGCAGAAGTTTGCGTTCACAAACCACAGCTTTTGAGGGGGCTGGTGGCCTTAAGTCACAAGGGCAACCAATGATGTTCACTGCATTGCGATATCGACGCCATACACTGCTAGCAAAAGCACTCAGGCATTGGTTTGAAAAGAGTTCACGGGGCCAACTTAAATTGGAGGAAAAGAGACAGAAAGCTGAACTGGAGAGAAAGAAAGAAGAAGCTAGGTTAAAGCGTCAAGAAGTGAAACGACGTCTTCTTGAAGAGCTAGCAAACACCCCTCCAAGGAAAAGTGCCCGTCTGTTGTCGTATACACACAGGGACAGCCTTATTCCCCGCAAATTCAGGGACATGACAACCAGCAGCCCAGCTTCAAGAAAAGAGGCTCAAAGGCGCTTTAATCAGCTATACTCTATACGGCCCAATGTGACCCCGGGAGTTACAGGACTTCGCAACCTTGGAAACACCTGCTATATGAACTCCATACTACAAGTACTGAGTCACCTGCAGAAGTTTAGGGAATGCTTCCTTACATTGGACCCCAGTGAGAAAGAGGAACTTCTGGGAAAAGGCACCAATGGCAAGCACAGCATGGGTGATAGTGGGTCACAGTGCCTATCTGGGGGCCTAAAGTTGAACGGGGAGTCATCACTTAAGAAGAACTTGGAGCTAATTCAAGCCAAGGAACCCAGCACCAAGCAGCTTTCCCTTTGTCATGAACTGCACACCCTCTTTCGAGTTATGTGGTCAGGGAAATGGGCGCTGGTTTCGCCCTTTGCCATGCTGCACTCTGTGTGGAACCTAATTCCAGCCTTTAGGGGATATGACCAGCAGGATGCCCAGGAGTTCTTGTGTGAGCTTCTTGATAAGATACAACAGGAACTGGAATCTGAGGGCAGCAAACACAGAATACTTATCCCCATTTCCCAGAGAAAGCTCACCAAACAGGTGTTAAAGGTAGTTAACACAATATTCCATGGACAACTGCTCAGTCAGGTGAGAAAACATTTCTTTGTAACTGTTGTTTATATAAACCCCCAACTGTGCACTTTATTTTATTCACAGGCCCTGTTTTTTTTTTTTCTTTCCAGAATAGTCCATCATAACTACATGAGTGTTCCATATGTCATCATTTTTTTTTCACAGGTTACATGTTTGACATGCAGTTATAAGTCTGACACAGTGGAACCTTTCTGGGATTTGTCACTGGAATTCCCTGAGCGTTATCACTGCCTAGAAAAGGGGATTGCTCCAGTCACTACTACTGAGTGCACTGTTACCGAAATGTTATCCAAGTTTACAGAAACCGAGGCCTTGGAAGGAAGAATTTATGCGTGTGACCAGTGTAATAGTGAGTGGTATTAACTTGTCAAAGCTTCAGTGGAAAAGTTATCCTGGTCTCTCTAATTGGCAGAATGTGAAATATTAATACCCGAGGACCCTGTACACAAGGAAGCAGTACTGTCCAGCTACTATGAACTTCTTATTTTTGTGAATGCCGAGACAGAGTAACAGAGAAGGAATATTGAAAAAGTCACACACACTCCAAGGTCAAATGTGCTGAATGTCCTTTTGATTAAGACGTAAGGCAAACAGTGCAATAAGCAACATTTCGAAACCAAACATGGTCCCTTCGTCAGGCAAACAGTGATTTACAGCCCAAAGTAAGATTCATAAATGGGTAATAGGCAGTGCCAATCCAAATTTGATTGCCATTATTACAAAATTGGATTACAAAAGTGGTTTAAAATGACAGAGTAACCTAGTATAAGTGAGTCTCACTATTTTGTTAGTTAGAAAACAATATCGCTATACCCAGAACCAAGGAAAATTATTGCTTGCGTAGTTTGCACATCTTTAGCTGAAGAGCTAACAAGAATTTCTTTCAGGTCGGAGACGAAAGTCATCCCCAAAGCCCCTTGTGCTTAGCGAGGCCAAGAAGCAGCTTATGATATTCAGACTACCTCAGGTTCTGCGGCTGCATCTTAAGCGCTTCAGGTAAGAATATTGATTACAAGAAAAACAGAACCCTCTGTCTTTTTCACTAATATTGGACTGTTGTTTAAGTCAGTACATGCAGTGCGATGTAGAAAGTGGTTAACTGATAAAAACACGGTTTGACCTGGTATAGCTAATTCAGAGGGCCACAGGTATGCATTGGTACCACACTCTGCGTGGAGAGCCGCGGTCTGGCCCACTCTTTAAAACATTATGTAGGGAATTTATCAAAACTGGAGCAGACAAAATCTGGAGCAGATTTGCACTGTAACCAATTAGCTTCTCTGTTTTCATTTTCAAATCTTACCTGAGCAAACTGAAGAGATGCTGATTAGTTGCCAATGGCAGCTGCTCTAGATTCTGTCTGCTCCAGTTTTGATAAATCCCACCCCTATGTATCTTACTATTGGTCAGCGAGGCCACACATTACTTTTAGAGACCCACAGGTTGGTATAGTTAAGGATGGGACAATGCTGTTGGCAGTTACCTCATTGGCTGCACATTGGAATCAAGTGGTTAAATCTCTCAGTAGAAAGAGGTTAAATTCGCCTGTGTAACCGAACTTCAAATTTTCTAGTGTAAAGGAAAGGAAGCAAGGGAGTACACCTGATACTCTCTCTGAACAACAACCAAGGGACACAGCAGTGCAAATATATGAAAGGAAAGAGCAACAGAGTATATAATAGAAGGTTGTCTGTTCTGAAAGGTGTGAAGGCGCAAGCACTAGTTCTCTCATGGAGAACAGTATAACTTTTTTTGCATCCTGTCTTTTATTTCTGATAGCTTGAAATAGGTGATTACCTGCTGGGAATGTTACAGGTGCTTTGTTTGAAGTAATTAAAGCTTGGATTTTCTGAGGACAGTTCAACTCTAACTGTCATTCACACAGTTATGGCTAGTTATAGACATAAACATAAACATTTAGACATATATAACATTATCAAAGACTCTTTCCAAAATTATTCATTCTCTGAAAGTAAAGCTCTTTTAGAATTCAGATATTTATGAATTTAGATTTCTTACAATATTGATGCAATTGCTTGTCACAGCACATATCAACCACGTTGGCTCTCACGACTGTTGATCCTGCATGGGCTAGAAACATTTATACATCAGTTTACTCCGTTTGACTCATCAGTAATGTACGGTATTCCAGTTACTGCACCTTACTCTAGGGTTCTTTTCACTCTGTGGATAATTGTAAAATTAAAAATACACTCAAACTTTAAGTGTATTTCCACTTTTGCAGCCAAATTGTGATAACACCTACTTTAGTTTGTTGCATGTTCCCATTCACAAAGCATAACTTTGAGAAAAAAAATGAAAATTGGTGCTTACCGTTTTTTAACTTTCTGAAAACAGTTGAGGTTTCTCAATGTGACTGCAAAAGTGGAAATTCACTATACCTGCAAGCATTTGAAAAACAAAAAAACACCAAAACGTATTATAGGGGATGTACATAATACGCCTTTTGTTAACAATTACACTTATTTTCAACCTATTATATGTATGAGGATTCTTAATAATTGCAGCTTAATAGAGGTTACATGGGTGTCATGATTGTGTTTTTTTATATCTTTTTTGTGTCTCCTTTTGGTTTTTATGTTATCAATTTTTTATTTATTTTCAACTTGTTTTTAACCGTTCCTACAGTTTTAAGGGGTACACATCTTCACCCACTCAGAATGGTAAACGTTATCCTCCCCACCCATGCTGCTCTGTTTCCTCAAGGGTGGCAGTCCCAACAATAGATACGACCATACTCCCATGAATGTAAACTGTTGCAACATATGTCCACTACCTTTTTTTTTTTTTATATATATTTTACATTACTTTGAATGTAACATACACAGTGTTTGCTCAAATCACCCATATATCTATGATCTATTTGGAAACATAAAATAAAAGATATAAAATCATGGGTGACATACCAGAATACTGGTCTTTAAATGGAGCATTGAAGGGACTAAACAGTCTGCCATCTCCTCATCCAATTGCCAGTGCCCAGCTTTTGAACGTGCACTGAAAAGGATTTCAGCTTTCTTTTTTCTTTGTTTGCAAAGAATGTATTTGTGTAGTTCTAAAACAGCTGCATGGGCATGATATAGATCTCCATGGCTGTACACAAGGGGAATAGTTGTGATCTGCTACATTCAGCTTGTGAAAAGGTTAAAGTAAAAACAATCTGTTGATGATGTCTTCTGGTTCATAGATAGATAGATAGAGGTGTGTGTCTAAGTTCTGTTTGGAAAAAATGTCATATCAGATTTTCAAACATTCCCCCCTCTCAACCCTCATAACCCTCCTATATTAAAATGTATTGTAACTATACTGTTTCCCGTTATTTTGTAAAGCTCTGCAAAAGATGTTGATGTTAAATAAATCCTGTAAGACAATGTTAATGTTGGTTTTCTTCAAGTGATCAGACTTTTATTTAGGCACAGAATAGTTTTTCATCACATGCCTTTCAAGATATATTTAAAAAAGTAAACCAAACTAGTGAATTGATTCCTAGAATTATTTTTAAAAGTTAACAGATGGCATCTTAAAGCAGGGAAACATATTATTAAAGGAGAACTATAGGGTCAGGGCTTTTCCCTATAGTTCCAAACTGTCACAGGTCGGCTCAGATTATGAGGCTGAGTGAAAATCACTCGCCTCATAATTCTCCTTTAACCTTTGCACTGAAGCTACCCCCACACTGCAAGGGTTAGGTGCTCATTTGTGCCTAGGGAGGAAAATGTTTAAAAAAATATACTCCCCATGATCCTCTGAGCTTCCTCTTAGACCCCTGGAGCCTCCCTCCGCTGCAGTGGTTTAAGGTCCCGTAAATCATCACGTTCTATACACGGTGTATAGAACATGATGCTGAGGGGCATTCCGTTGCTGGAGGGTAATAGAGAGGCTGAAGAGAGCGCTGTCACAGCTGGGTTGGCTTTGGAAGATCAGGTGAGTGGATGGTCCCACTGTAAGGGTTAATAATAATTTCCCCTGGAGTTCTGCTTTTAAGATGCCATCTGTTAGCTTTCACAAATAATTGCAGGGATCAGTTTGGCCAGTTTCCATCTATGTGCGTTATTTTAGTGCCCTCAACATCCTAAATCACAAAAGCTTACTAAAATTATACAACCCCAATTCCATTAAAAATTTGGATGCTGTGTAAAATCTACATAAAAACAGAATGCAATGATTTGCAAATTGCAAAACATGGCCCTGTCCGCACTTTAAGACGTGTTGCTGCCATCAGTTTTAAAATGTACTTTATTTTTTTCTTAAAATGGTACATTTTCTCAGTTTAAACATTGGATATGTTTTCTATTGTGAATAAAATCTGGGTTTATGAGATTTACAAATCATTGCCTTCTGTTTTTATGTAGATGTTACACAGCGCCCCAACTTTTTTGGAACTGGTGTTGTATTTTTGACAGATTCTTTGTATTCATGTCCTGAACAGCTGTTGTAAGACCTTTTGTTTGTTTCAGGAACATACAGCTATATACGGTAGTATACGAGCAGATTAATCAGTAAACGTAAAGCTACAAGAAAGAGGTGTGGAAAACTGATATGCTACCCATAGGCAGCAGTCTGAGGGCAAAAGTCCTACCTTCTACTGCTTTTATTAGCCCCACTGTATAGTAATCATGTCTTTACTCCGAAACCTCATCTTATTTTATTTATTTGAAAATCTTTAGTGTCGGGCACAATAGAGGGATGGCGGGAAGTGTTATATATTAAGGTGATGACTTTGCCAAGGCTCTTTTTTAAGCTTCAGTTCTTATCAAGTTCTTCTCAGGAGCATACTTAAATCTCATAGTTTTATAGTTAGTCCACCACTGGGACTTTTAAGCTTTCAGAAACATCCCTACTGTCCTTTTTCAGCAGTTTGCTTACTTACTGTTCCCGGTCATCTTCAGCTGGCCTTCCTACAGTGTTCTCTCCAGCTATGTCCCTATCCCCACTTTTGCAAACCACTCATCATGCTGCCATTTATAATCCTATTGTCCCTGCCATGCTCTCTTCTGTAACCTGCTCCGTACTGCCATTCATTAAAACACTATCATTGGTGTCAGTGGTGGAGACCTGATTTTTCTCCTTCAGCTCAGTAATACTGAGGCTCCATTCACATATAGCATTTGCGTTTTCCATGCGGAAGACCACGCGGCAGTGCTAAAATCTGTTATCCGCACGCATTTTGCTCATTTGCGGCTATTATATAGCCACGAACGTGTGGAATCCATCAAAAAATTGCGCTTGGACTATTTTGCTGCCCACGTGGTTTTGGCCGCAAAAGTCTGAACAGTGCACATTAAAGTGCATTGTTTTTTCTGTTTAGTGCGGCTCCGCATGTTCGGCTGGCCGCTCCTCACCGCTCTCACCCTGTGACTGAACAATGAAAAGAGATGTATTGGACAGATTAGCTTATTTCTTTATCACTGTGTTCTCTGCTCCTTTCAGAACTATCAGAATGCTACTTGCACAGAAGCACAACTGGTGAGCTGCTTCTCCATCCCCCAGTCTTGGCTATGCTGTACAGGAACTACAAGAGGCTGATACCAGTGAAAATTCATGTTAAAATGCTTGCATTAAAAATACATTTAACGATGTACTAATGAACACAGAGCTGAATTAATTTGTCTGTTATATCTGCCTGGAATTCCGCTTTTCTCAGACCTAATTCTAAAAGAAAACACCATCTTATTGGATGCAGAAAAATCTTACCCTGTGGAGATAATAGATAAAAAATTGGATCCCCAGCACTTTCTGGTCACATCAGTCCACATATTTTTTGGTAGATTGTGCCTTAGAAAATACCTTTTCTCATGACATCAATGTCTGCATTATAATTGTGTATCCTTTTACAGATGTCCTTGACGCTGCACAAAGTTATTTTCCAGTTCATAGTTCATGTATTTCAATTTAAGCTACCTGTAAAAGTGTCTTTCCACATCGACACAGTTGTATGAAAATGGGACAGAGACCAGAAGAGGCTCCTGTAAAGA